ATATGGAAATGAGAAACTTGAATGAGCTGTGTAGGAAGACAATTGATTAGATATATTGATGTGGTGAAGCCATGGTTCCATAAGTCTATGGGTAAGGATGCATGAGCCAAGAGAGTCAGTCCCATTTCAACAATTTGTCCATGCTTTCTTTCCTCTGTTCCATTTTGGTGTGATGTATGAGGGAATGTAAGCATGTGGACGATACCTAATTCACCGAGGAACTTTGTGAATGGACTAAATTCTCCACCAAAATCTGACTTTATGGCCATGATTTTTGAATTGAACTAAGTTGTGACATAGTTCATGAACAACTTAAAGGCATGAAGTGCATCACTTTTCTACTTCAGCATGTAGGTCTATGCGTACCTTGAATGAGCTTCAACCAGTGAAGGATAATAAGAGTAACCTATCCGAGAAGGTCTTGGGGATGGTCCCCATAAATCTAAGTGAAGTAACTCAAAAGCACAATTGCATTTTGTTTGAGATAAGGGTGCATGAAGCCTATGAGACTTCCCTAAACAACAAGAATGACATAAATTCTCACTTTTCTTATTATTGAAAGAAATGTTACACAAATCAAGTACATAATTTGTAACTCTAGGGTGAGCATGTCCTAATCTAACATGCCATAGACTATGAGTATTGACTGGTGAATCTACTCTAGGATAACTATAGTATTATTTACAAAAGAATACAACTCTTGAGAACTATGAGAAGTGAGATTTGGTGAGTTTTCAATTGTGAGATTGTTGAATTTGTACAATCCACTATCATGAAGAAACTCTTGAAGCAAGAGTTGGTTAGATGCATGTGATTTGACATAACATTTGTTAGCATGAAATTCAAAATAAGCTTTATTATCTTTGGAAAATTTTGAAACTGATAGAAGTTTTCTAGTAATGCTAGGCACATAGAGCAAATTGTTCAACAAGATAGAGGTTCTAGGCATGCATTTTGACTTAAAACGAGTTGACCTTATAGAAGAAACTGCTAAGCTATGACCATTGTCAATTAAGACTTCATTGAGTGAAGCACTAGTGTGTAAAGATTGTATATTAAAAATGTTAAAATTAATGTGATGGGATGCACCTGATTCTACAAACTATGCTTGAGAATCCAAGTCATGTGGAACTTGAAGTATATCCCGATGAGCTATGTATGTTGTTGCTTGATTTAGATTATAGGTTTGGCCTTGTGATTTCACTTGTACTTGATCAGGTTCAGTTGCAGAGGTAGGTTGTGCCCGAGGTTTCCCTGGTGTTGGAACAGAGTATTCATCAAATCGATGCCAACATTCCAAGACTGAATGCCCATATTTTTTGCAGAGTTGGAAAGTGTGTTTGTTTCCTGGATTATATTGTTATCCTAATCCACCCATGCCTTTTGCACCATGAGTTTTTCCCCTATGATGTTGATACACACCTGAATTGGCTGCATTCCTACCTGAGGATTGGTTTGATCCTGCATGTGCTAGGTTGGCTGTAGCACTAGGTGTTGTGAGCTCTTCTTTTATACTTTTCCATTTATGCTTCTTGAACATATAGTAAGGCTTCAACCTCATATATGCCACTAGGTTCCACTTTGCCATATATCATTGTGATGAACGAATTATACTCTGCTGGTAACCATTGCAGTATGGAATCCAGTTGATCCATTTCAGAAATAGGATCACCAATTGCAAGTAAATAACGTGTTATTGCTCTAATGCAAAGAACATATTCAAATATCGATTTGTTATCTTTTTGGATAGTTTTCAACTTAGCTTTGAGTTGATGAACTCGTGCCTTCATTTGTGAGTGGAAATGTTTATGAACTTTATCCCATAACTAATAAGCGTGCTTGCATGAGAGAACTCTTGGTAGAACCAATTCAGAAATGGTGGATAACAACCATGTGAAAAGTGATTGATCTTGCACAATTCATGCTTCGTATTCTTCATATACAATGTTTGAAAGCCTTTTCACTGCCCGTTTTGAACATCGATTGGATCTAGAGATTTACCACAATATTGTGTAGTTTGTGTGATAAAATCACATTCAACTTGTTGATTCTAGAGAAGAAAGTTGTTCGCCTAGAGTTTGATGGAGAGTTTCGGTGCAAATGTATTGCCCCAGTGTTGCACGATTGTTGGTGCCATTGCTTGAGAAACTTTGAACGCATCTTGTGTTTCTTAAAGCATACTGTCTTGATCTTCCATGGAAGCTTCTCTGAAGCTTGCTTGAAACGATTCCACATTGATCAATGGAATTGTGGCATGATCACTAGCAAAAATAGTGAGAACTTATGAGCGAAAGAACGGTCCCTTAAACTATTGATACCATAATGAGAATGAGAATGAAAACCATTAATTACGAAGATCGAGAGAATATCAACACATACTTTGTATGTGACTTTGATGATATTGTTTATTGCTTTCTACGTTGAATAAAGCTTGATATATATACACTAATTCAAGCTTTCTTAAGTTAGTTGGAGAATGTGAAAGTTAGTTAGGATTTGTCTAACTAACTTTCCTAATTGATGTAACTAACATCTAACTAACTTTGCATGTTTCTCTATATTACTCTAATATATTGAGACTGTGATGCTCATAGTTCATGAATTATACTGAATCAAACCACGTTAATGATTTGATTTAGTTTACAATAATCGCTTCAATAAAAATACATTTAATTGTTAAAACAGTTTAAATTCAGTTTAAAACCAATTTTGATCTAATTTGCATTTATAAATCGGTTTATAATCAATTTGCATTAATAAATCAATTACATTTTTTGAAATATTTTATAACAGATATTTTAACTTTTTATTTTAGAAATAAAATAATAATTTAAAAAAATAGGAAAAAATATTATTTATTTTTCAGTTTTTTTTAATTTCTTTTTTTTCAAAAAAATTATATTTTTGGGAAAATAATTAAGTTTCAAAAAAAAAATTCAGGAAAAAAAAATTTTGTAGGGAAAAAATCAGAATTTTTTTATATTTTTCTTTTTTTTTTTAGATTTTAACGTTTTTTTCAAAAAAAAAATTTCCCATAAAAAACATTATTTTCTTTTCAAAGTTTTTAAAAAAAATAAAAAAGAAACATTTTCAATTTTTTTCTCAAAAAAAAAATTAGATTTTTTGTTTTCGTTTTTTAAAATTTTCCAAAAATAAAACTTTTGTTTTATTTTTGGAAATTATATATTTAATTTTTAGAAGAACAATTTTTTTCGATTTTTTTTGTTTTCGGAAAAAATATTGTTTTTTATTTTAAATAATATATTTCAAAATAATTATTTAATAGTTTAAATTAGTTTTTAATTTAAGTTTGATTAACTAAATTATTTATAATATATGATTTTGTTTATTAATTATTTAAATAATTTTAATTTTTATAATTTAATGTAATTTAATTTAGATATATAATTCAATTAACCATATTTTTTCACACCCTAATAAAAACTATATAATGTTATGTCAATATTCTAACATATGACCTTATAACATTTAAAATTGAACCTTAAAAATCACTAAAGCTACGAGACAATCTCTATAATCTCTACTGCCAAATACAAACTTAACCTCCAACTCTAATAGGTAGTCTTCAATTGAAGATAAAAAAAAAACATCTACGATCACAATGTTTTAACCGTCAGTCATAATTTTTTATCAAATCAAATAATTAATACTTTTATCTAAATTAATAAATATATTCATAAAAGAGAGTGGGGTACATGCAAGACACTCCGATGACAAAGTGAAAGACGGAATAAACAAACAAGTAGGTATATAGGTGTGAATGAATGAATACCTGACCCTCTTGAAATAGAGGATATTTATAGCCCCCAGCGCTGGACCAAGGTCCTTTTATTGGGCTTACCAAACAGGCTCAACAAAGGGACTGTCAGGTTCTACGTGAGTAGTGGGGACCTGCACGTGGTCCCCTACCTGTATGATGCTCTCCGCAGAATAGGAAGGGTAAAGACGCGATCTTTCCGGGACCCTGAGGACTCTGAAACATCCGGAGAGGTTGAAAGTCTGCCCTACGAGGAGGGTACTCGAGCAGGGCTTGGATTGGGATGTTCCTCGTCTGGAACGTCCCTCGTCGGAGACGTTCTTCGCGGGCACCGACGGACGCAGTCGTATTCGACTAGTCACCCATGATCGGAGTGTGCTCGGAGGATCTAATGCTCAGCATGATACGTTGTAAAACTTGGATTGGACTTCACTGGTGGACCACACGCAGGCTCAGTCCAGAATTTTATATATATATATATATATATATATATATATATATATATATATATATATATATATATATATATATATATATATATATATATATATATATATATATATATATATATATATATATATATATTTATATATATATTTAAAAAAAATATACTTAGTTGCGTGCAACAAATTTTAATATAAATTCAACATTATCACCTGACCTTTGTTGCTAATTACGTACTCATTTTTATTGCCATTTGCTAATAATGGGGTGCATAATATGGCCTCCATGAAGTCGATGGCGTATGTGTTTGGGATCTTTTAAGAAAATGAAAAGAAAATGATAATTAATATATAGAATATACTATTTAAATATTACCGAGTACTAATGAATAGCATAAATAGAACATGACATGAATCCAACGGAAGGAAGGAACAATGTGAAAGAACCGAAACAAAGAAAACCACAACAACAAAACAACGTTGTCTAATTACAGCTTCTTTTTTATTTATTTCAATTTTCTAATTTCTAAAATCTAAATCGCCACATTTTTAGTTTGCCGTTGAAACCGCGAAATTCCCTCTTTCTTCTTTCCCCCTCTAGTCTCTTATTCCTTCTTCTCTTTTTCTTCATCTTCATTTCTCTCTAATCATTCACCGACCCTTTTATTCATATGCCAATTGGGTCGGCAATGAACTAAAGAGCCGCGTCTCTTTCAATTCCCTTTCTTGAACCTCTTTTCTGATTTTCTTTTCTCTTTTTGTTGCTTTTTTTTAAAGCAATGGATCGTGTAAGAGGGTTTCTTCTTGTTGTTTTCACGTTGTTTCTTCTTGTTGTTGATGCTTCTGATTTGGTTTTCCCTGTTGAGCGTAAATTCAAAGGGCCTCATCAGAGTTTAGATGCAATCAAAACTCATGATGCTAATAGACGTGGTAGATTTCTGTCTGCTGTTGAAATTCCTCTCGGTGGCAATGGTCTTCCTTCTTCAACTGGGTTTGTTTCTATCACCGGATTTTTTTTTTTTTTTTTTTATAGTTTTTTCAAATTCAATCGTTGATCGTGTGTTTGTAAATTATTTTGTTGTGGCTCATTAGTCATTACCGTGATTCTGATAACTCCACTGCCAATTTAGATATGCACTTAGTTATGAAAATGGTTCCTAAAAGTTACAATCTTTAACCACATTAGTCTTCTTGGATTATTCAGTGCAATTGTTGGAATTGTCCCAAAGCTAAGGGACTAATTTGATAGATGATTTTCAATTTTGGGATAGTGGTGGCCTGTTATTTCTGTATAATGTTTATTGCAAAAACTTAACCATAGGCTAGTGGATTTTGGGGATCATTTGAAATTTCATTAATGGATTTTGGGATAGTGATTCATTTGAACTTTAAGCTGCGATCTAAACACCAGAGCGGATATTAGTCCTAGAGCCGGTCCAGTGGACCAAGACTTGTGGGGGTAATATGTGGAGCCAGTGTGGGACGCCAAAGGCCCTAATTATGATGGTTTCCTACCCGCAATATAATATAATAAATTAAAAATGACTATATATTACGAAGGTTATCCCGGGACTCATGAATGTTTGCGTGCTATTGTCTCAAAAGATTTTTCAAACTTTCAAATCTCAACCCGTGTTTGCCGGAAAAACACATGAGGGTAGTTTTCAGTGTTCATTATCTTTCATGAAATTGTTTTTCGTGATAAATATTTTCCTAATAAAATTGATGATTAGTTTGGTTGAGATTTTTTTATGGCTGTTTCTGTTACAAATCATCTAGTATGGTAAGGAAGAGAAAATTATCACTAAACGCTATTTTCATTTGGATGCTTAATTAATGTTGTTTGTTTCATTTGGTTAGGCTATATTACACCAAACTAGGGCTTGGTTCTCCTGCTAAGGACTTCTATGTACAAGTTGACACAGGAAGTGACATTCTTTGGGTGAATTGTGTAGGCTGCACAGCATGTCCCAAGAAGAGTGGTCTTGGTGTATGTATCCAGACTAAACTTGTTTAATTTTCATGCTTTCTGCTTGAAATACAAGAATATTGAGAGTTTCTGCTTTGATTATCATGTTGCAGATGGATTTAACCCTCTATAACCCAAAAGCCTCCATAACTGCAAGTGTGGTACCTTGCGATGATGAATTTTGCACTTCCGCATATGATGGTCCAATTTCTGGATGCAAGAAAGAGATGTCATGTCCGTACGGCATAACTTATGGAGATGGAAGTACAACCTCTGGTTCCTATGTGAAGGATGCTCTTACATTCGACCGAATAAGTGGTAATCTCAACACCACACCAGATAATAGCAGTGTGATTTTCGGGTAAGTACGATTTATAATATTTTACATCACACACACACACACACACACAAATATGCGTATGAATAATTGAAACCATCCTCATATTCTAACCTTGGTTTTATTGTTCCTTTTTCTTCGTAGCCACCTTACTTTTAATTCTTTCTGAACTTTCACTTGATGACAGGTGTGGCGCAAAACAATCCGGGACATTGAGTTCATCTTCTGATGAAGCCCTTGATGGTATAATTGGTTTTGGACAATCAAATTCTTCTGTACTTTCACAGCTTGCTGCATCGGGAAAGGTGAAAAGGATATTTTCGCACTGCCTTGATAGTATCAATGGAGGAGGAATATTTTCCATAGGAGAAGTGATGGAGCCAAAGTATAACACTACTCCATTGGTACCAAGAATGTATGTATATAATCTTGGCTTTTTATTCCCATGCCATGTTATATTTTAATCTTTTAAGGCTTTCATCTTTTATGATTATGAAGGTAGATTCATTCTGCAATATCAAATATAAGCTCTCTGGCATATTCTCTTCTAAACGTTCTTTCGTATTCTTGTAATGTTATTTTATATCCAGTTTAGGTTTTGGGATTGAAATTATGTCATAACTGTAATCTATTTGACTATTTCAGGGCACATTACAATGTGATCTTGAAGGACATGGAGGTTGATGGGGATCCTATACAGCTCCCTACAGATATATTTGATTCTGGAAGTGGAAGAGGAACAATTATAGACAGTGGTACCACCTTGGCTTATCTTCCAGCTTCAGTTTACAACCAGATAGTAACGAAGGTAACTGCGACTTCAGAGATAAGTCAGTTTTTTCTCACTTGATCGCTCATGATTGTTCTTTGTGATAGATTTTGGCTCGGCAACCGGGACTAAAATTGTATCTTGTTGAGGACCAGTTTACTTGTTTTCATTTTTCTAAGAAGTACGACACTTATCTTTGTAACTTCATTTTATTTTGTATAGGAAGGAAACAGTTTTTGCAGTCTTCTTTTCTTGTGAAATAAGCATCATTTACCAATGTTAATTTGTGACGTTCTTTTTAATTTTGTGATATCATTATTGTTAAATTGACGACTGATACTGTGTATTTTTGCAGTTTTGATGAAGGATTTCCACTTGTCAAGTTTTTCTTTGAGGGTCTTACTCTTACAGTTTTTCCTCATGACTACTTGTTCTTTTATAAAGTATGACTTTGGTTATTGATTGTATCTGTACTCAGATTCTGATTTTACTATTTGAGAAGCTTTATAAAATTTACTTTCATACGAAAATTACACTCTTAAATTCAACGTGTCGAGTGAATTCATTTCGTAAATTTGTTTCAGACGTTAAAAAAATGTTGTTTCTTGATAATATTTTCTCTTCATTGTCTTCCAGAACGATGTTCATTGTATTGGCTGGCAGAAAAGTAACACACAGACTAAGGATGGAAAAGAGCTGATTCTTCTTGGAGGTAAAGTTTATAATTTTGATTATTTTTTCATATAGCGACTCTATGGGAAAGTTTGTATACAGCGCGATTTGTTAATTTTGACCCTCTTAACTGTGGTACAGATTTGGTGCTGTCAAACAAATTAGTTGTATATGATCTTGATAACATGACAATTGGATGGACTGATTTCAATTGTGAGTTTTTCAGTAATTTTTTTCAGCTTCTTTCATTTATGACTCTTCTATTATTAGCTTTTTGGCTTAAGTTTGTTAATACTGATATGTACATAGAATGACTTTGCATTTTCTTCTTGATTCTTTAGGTTCCTCCAGCATTAAAATAAAGGATGATAATGAGAGTGGATCTGTATATACAGTTGGTGCAAAAGATCTTTCTTCGGCTACCACTGTGTTAACTGGAAGAATATTGTCATTCTTATTGTTGATTATTGCCCTGCTAAGCACTTAAATGACTAGTTTTTTGCTATATATGAGGAATGACATTTATTTCATCTTTGTAACATAATTCTTTGAATGTTCTGCTTTGTGCGTATATTTTTAAAACCATTTCTCATAGAGAGTGAATATAATTGAGAAAAGGGCTAGCAAAACTTCCAAGTTCTTTTGTAGAGAATCATAATTCATAGAAACTTCCAAGTTCTTTTGTAGAGATTCATAATTTATAGAAACGGATAAATTTATACACAGAACAATATTTCATTGTAACTTTGACAAAAACAACATTAAGATTATAAGCTGATAACTACACATTATACTAATAGATATCTTCATGCATAAAAAAGAGATTACAAAGTTATCCTCAGAACCTGTACCACAAAATAAATAACTGCCAGGAGGAGTGCAATCTGGTATATATCTTGCTGAAAGCTGTCGTCCTTCTGGAAGAACTGAACAAAACCACAAACAAAACAATCGTCTCATGAAAGAAAATAAACGAGGTATGTCCAAAGAACAGGAAGATGAAGCCACACATAGTTTAAGATTCTTGTACATAACAGAAGAACTCACCTTGGTTGGATCACCAGAAGGATCTGGATAAATATCCATGTTCTCTTTCTTGGTTGAAAAATTAGCACTCAAATTCTTGGCACTATCAGCTAAATCTTTTACAGATTCAACAGCAGCAAACAGAACACGCGACGTCCAGAAAAATGCCTGAGCACTAGCAGATGAAGCTGATAAGTCCCATAATTCTTCATGCTGAATGACTTGTCCACTGATTTGGTTAAGAGTAAATTTGGAAGTAACTCTGAGTATGAGATCACCTCCTACTCCAGCTAGAACAGATTTAGGCTTCCCTATAATTGTCCACTTGATCCTTAAAACACTTGTTGACAGCATGGTCATTTCCTGCACAGTCTGTTGACCATACCAAATAGATTTCATAACAATCCTACCTTCCTCTTTATAACTTTTTTAATGTTAATAAGTGAAAAGAGAAATATAATAGAATGCTAAAAATAGATGGAATATTTCAATAAAACTTCAGCTCAAATATGGTGAATTTAATTGAAACCTGCTTAATAAGGAAGTGAACTTTGAAATTGAAGACACAATTCATCAGTGGTAATAGGATTGGTTCAAATTCTACTATGATATAGCTGTTCTTTGACAGCATTTTGTATGCAATAGGATATTGCAGAACAATAGTGGTTTGTTCAAATTTCACTGTGTTATAACTATATCAGATGACTTGATTAACACCAACAAAAAATGATGGTATTGCTTCCCATGTTAGAGGTACGAGTTTCTCAATACAAAAACCGTTACTAAACTCCTTGTTAAATACTTGAATATTAGACTAGAGTGTTACTTTGCATATTGTTAATTCTTTTGCTTCTTTTCAAGATTTTGACTAGTAAATTTGTTTTTTTTACTTAATAACACTAGAGTTTGTTTGTAAGTTGGGAATTGTTTGTTTAACTCCAACTTAGAGAAGGAGTATTAGATTATGTTATGTGTCTTTTATCTTTATCATCATGTTGACCTCAATTTAATGAAACTTCATTGATTATGTTAGATTTTAATTAAGGATCTAGTTATTTTGTCTGTTACACTATGTGTTGCGATTTATGATACCAATATTCTAGTTATTTTGTCTGTTACACTATGTGTTGCGATTTATGATACCAATATAACGAAGTGATAATTGTAAATTAAATCTAATTCACATAAAGTTCGGTGATTAAACTTACGGATCAAACATTATGGATATGTGAGATCTAACGGCCTATAAATAAATATGATTTCTAGTCAAAATAAAATTTGTTCACAAATATATGAAACTTAGAACACATACCTCACAAACTCTGAGATGTTGTAATATTTCAAAGTATACCAGCTTTTGTACATCAAACACGTACTTAAATAAATATAATGATTTCTTTTGTTTTGTCCATTCGAGAACAACAATTTTCTTTAAAGAAATGACAAATTAGAAAAGAAAAAAATTAATTAGTTAATACCATAAATAAATTAAGAAATTGATCATGACTAATGCTTTATTCCAATATGTCTTGAAACACATTTCCATTTAAGACTAATCCAATTCTCTAGTAAATTAAATTTACCGACCTTGCCATAAGGAACACCTTATTCTTTTAATAGCTAAAATGTAGTTTGATTTGGTGGATATATTTGTTTTTGTTTGAATTTGAAAACCATGTTTCCCATAAAGAGGATTCAATCAACGACTTGCATTTTAGGCAACCAAAATGCAACCCCATAATTCTTTGATATCATTTAAAATATCATTTGCACTTAATGCTGCACATCGTGACATATTAAGTCCTCTAGCATATAAATTTTCTCGTACATTCACACAAAAAAACATAATTAGTTATACATAAATCAAATCAAAAAATATGAAAACTTGATAAAGATAACAAATATACCAAATAGAAAAATCCTATTTGGCAATGGAAAGTGAAAGAAAATGCAGTATTAAAACCCAAAAAAAAGTTTTTTTTTATTTTCAGGTAACCTTAAATGTCTTTCTAAAGTGAAATATAAATATCTTTAAAGCTTATTGAATTTATTGATTTATTTGTCAATAGAAAAACTTCCACCCTTAGAAATCACTTTTTCAAAAGTCCTCTTGTCAATATACGCTTTAAACTAAATTTTCAACTTTAGTGAATGGAGAAAACATAATCAAAATGAACAAAAAAAGATAATATAAGATAGGTTAGTAATAAGACTCCAGTCAAGAAAACTTATGTTGAGATCCTACATATCAAGAGTTGGGACATACAATTAAATACTATGAGATAGGAATTGTAACTATAAAATTGGCAAAATCCCACATTTAGGGTAGGGACAATGTGGATATTTTTTTAACTGGAGTCCTATTCTTAACCTATCTTATATTATTTCTTTTATTCTTTTTTATTAGACTATTTTTAATGGATTCAAGACTCAGACTTATTTTAGAGCCTTCGTTGACCACCAGACTTTTGAGAAAGTAATTTCTAAGGATGTCGAAGTTTACATGTTGACAAATAAATCAATAAACTTTAAAAATAATTCTATTTCATATTGGAAAGTCATTCAAGGTTATCTGAAATGTCTTTTTGGATTAAATACAAACATTTCCTTTCAATTTTCCTTGTCAATTTGGATTTTTTTCTAATTATATATATATATATATATATATATATATATATATATATATATATATATATATATATATATATATATATATATATATATATATATATATATATATATATATATATATATATATATATATTTGTTGGCTTTATCATGCTTGTAAATTTTTTCATATTCTCTTATTTGATTTATGTATAACTAGTTATGATATTTTTTGTGAATGTACCAGAAAAAAATTACTCCCTTTGTAAAATGTCTTATTTGCACTTTTTCAAAATAAATGTCTTTAAAATATCAATACAATATTTATTATCTTTTTCGCTATTATACTCTTATTTATTAATTTTCATGTTTTTCAACAACCCCATTAACTATAATAAATAAGGATGTTTTATGAAATATTATTAATTAATCATTAAAATAAATATATTTAATATTTTCTTAAGAACCGCGAAGAACTCAAATAAAAATATTTATTATAAAACAGAGGGAGTATATACTAAAGAACTTAGTATGTGGCAGATGCATCACTAAAGTTTGAGGGTGCAAATAATACTTTGAATAATATCTATGAATTATGGAGTTCTCTAAAAGATAACTCCTTGATTGAATTCACTCTTCATAGGAACGTAGTAAGCAAGCTACAATTTGACTATCAAAGAAATAAGGAACTCAATGGCAAGGTGTCTCATCTCAAAGAAAATCTAATCTAAGTCGCAAGAGGATTTGATTACTTGTTGCAGGTCATAATGCAATAGAGCTACATACGAAATTAGATGCGATCAATTTATTAATGTATTTATGATTTTGACTAATTAATTTTTTTGTTTTTTTTAATTTTTCATTTGTTTGCAAGGAAAATGTTGTTTTAAAGTGGACAAAACAAGAGAAACCATTCTGAAAAATATTTTCCTCTTGGTTGACAGAAATCCCTTAAATCATACTTTTAAATTATTGATATAGATTTTGACAATTTAGTGTTTAGGAGACATGTTTGTTGTACAAACTGCGGAAGTAATTAATATCATATGTTAGTATACTCTGAGATATTACAACAACTCAGAATTTGCGACGTATCTATTCTAAGTTTCATTTATTGATGTCGACTTGAGACCATGTTTTATTTTGACTAGAAATCATATTTATTTATTGGCTCTTAGATTTCACATAATCATAATATTTAATCTGCAAGTTTATTCATTGTACTTCATGCAAATATTGAGTTTGTGAGAAAGAAAAGAGAAAGCTTTAACATTTAATCTCAATGTGAATTTGATTTAAATTTAAAACTATCAGTTTGTTATATTGGCTATCATTAACAAATTAGAATAGAAAACCTACCGAATAACTAGATCTATAATTACAAACTAACATAATCAATAAAGTTGCATTAAACAGAGGTCAACACAACTATAATTAAATAAAGATAAAGATAAAAGACACATAATATGGTGTAATATTCTCTCTTAAGTTGGATTTGAACAATCAGTTCCCACCTCATAAACAAACCCAAGTGTTATTAAGTAAAAAGACAAATTATTAGTCAAAATCTTGTAATATTAAAAAGAAGCAAAGGAATTAACAATGTGTAAAGGAGCACCTGAGTCTAATATCCAAATATTTAATAGAGAGTTTGGTAATGATTTTTAAATTGAAAAATATTTAATAGAGAGTTTGGTAATGATTTTTAAATTGAAAAACTCATACCTCTCAAATGAGAAGCAATACCATCCTTTTTTATTGTTGGTTTATACTAAGCATCTGAGATTGGAGATAGGTGTAAGCAATGTCTGTCTGATTTTGGTCAGTTATATATTCATTTAATTTCACATAATT